TCATTAGTTCTCTGAGATTGAGGCCACTTGTGGGTTTATCTGTATCCTCAGAGTCACCTGAATAAGAGTTTTTTGGATGAGAAGTGAAACATTTTCAAAGAGAAAACAAAGAAAGTCCAGTTGCCTTTTGGAAAAAAACATATTTGAAACAACCATGATCTGACTGATTGAGAATAGACATAGACTTTAGTTCTGTTTTACCACCATCTGGAATGTTGAATTGTCATTTAAAGAAATGCTTCCAATCTACATTTTAGTTCCTTTCTCTTATGTAGACATGGCCAAAGAAAGTTTATCAGATTGAGTCTTTATATTTCTCATCACTCACCAAGAAGCAAACTTCTCATTTATTCAAAGCCAATCTGAAATCTTACACAGATGAGCCCTGGGTTATTCTCAGTCAGTATGATAACCAGGATACAGAAAAAGGAAGGCTGCATCAGGAATCAGACCCACTTTCTGTCACCTCTCACTTCCAGGACTAAGGGAGATCACTATGTTGCATATGGAGACAGGTCTGTGACAATTCGCCACGGCCAACTTGCCATAGACAACTTGTCCTGGGACAACTTGCTGCGGGACAAGAGTTACACTAATATCAAATAGATATTATAGTAGAATAGAATCATTAAAGAAAGGATGCAAAAGGAGGGACAGAATGAAATGTGAATGACAAAAATTAAAACATTTTTATTTATTTTAAATAATTAAATTGAATTGTTAAATTGTCCCATGGCAAGCTGTCCCGTGGTGAGTAGCCTGTGGCAAATTGTCACGCGGTGAGTTGGCTACAGTGAGTTGGCTATGGTGAGTTCTCCCATTCTGTAGGGAGATGGCCTTTCTTAGGATGATTTCTCACTTTCAAGGAATGTTACCCCAAAGCAGTCAAGCAAGAAGGCCATATGAATTATTATTAATAGAGTATTTCAGGGTAACAATATTTATTCTAAGAATATATCTACCGTTAGCCTAATTAGAAAATCCAAGTAGCTAGTGAGACTTTGGGTTAGTCACTCTCAAAGGGTGCACTGCAGGGAAAAGGAGGGGGAGAGAAAGCTATATATGCCATTTTGAGCTCCTGAAAGATAGGTAGAATGTAACTCCAATAAACAAGCAATCTCACCTTTTGTTTAAAAATTAGATTTTTCCTAATGAATTTTTGTTATTAACTTTATTTTCATGTTCTGAACTATCTGTTTAACACACTTTATAACGAACTTAATTCTTACATTTGTCCACCTGATTACTTGAGAAGTAGTGTTTTCCTTTCAATGAGTATTAAAGTTTTCAGATTTTACAAGTATATCTTCCTGGTTTAAATAACAGATAAATGGTTAAGCTTCAGAAACCAGACTTTTTTGGGGGGGAAGCTCCAGTGTAAATAAGTACCAATATTATATAATAAGATAATTTTGTATTGCAATAATTGCAGTAAAAATATAGTCACACCAACTGAGCCGAGGTGGCGCAGCAGTTAGAGTGCAGTACTGCAGGCCATTTTAGCTGACTGCGTTCAGCAGGTCAGCAGTTCAAATCTCACCGGCTCAAGGTTGACTCAGCCTTCCATCCTTCCGAGGTAGGTAAAATGAGGACCCAGATTGTTGGGGGCAATGTAAATATATATATATATATATATATATATATATATATATATATATATATATATATATATATATATATACATTGCTTACTGGTGTACACCGCTTAGAGAGTGCTTGCACTTAAAGCGGTATATAAGTCTCATAAATAAATAAACTGAAACTCACTTTCTTACCTATTTCCAAGACCAACATGTAACATTTGTCCTTCCAACAACCTTACATGCTTGAATAGTAGGAATAGCTCTCCTATTGGCTATTAGACAAGAAAAGAGATGCTTTAATATCAAAGATGATTTGTAGTCTTTAATCAAATCTGAGCTGGTAGCAGCAAAGGGGACATGAAATTTTGAAGGTCAAACTGAACTTTTCCTGAGGCTAAGCCATATATTTTTATGCAATTCTAGAAATGGTTTGTCATTGCTTTTTTCAGGATCCTCCATCCCATTTTCTATTTTAACCAACTTCTCTATATTTCCAGATAGTAAACATCTAGATATTAATCAAAATATTTTTTTTTTACTTTCTGATATTTGCCAAGGGCAAATTTTATTTCCTTTTTTGAGTGTGTTATGTGATGTTTTCTGTCCTCTGAATCCTAAGACAATGCTGTAAGCTCAAAAGGAAGTGGTTTCTTTGCAGCTTTTTGTGGCTGTGCCATGATCAGAACAATCTGCAGGCTGCTAAGTCAGCAATCTTCTTTCTCCATCTCTTCCGTTGTGGGCAGCACTGGGTGTGTGCTGCTTTGGCCCACTTAACTACAGTGCCAATTAAGACCTGGTCTGCTTTCTGGCCTAGCCAAATGGGCAAGTGCCAAGGACTTCAGACTATTTTCCCAAGGGAGACTGCTATCACCACAGCAACCACTAATTCTATGAATGGAGCTAGGACCCATATCCGTTTGCAGCTTGCTATAAATCAGAGAATGTCATAGGCATCTGGAACAAAGGGCAACTGAGGAAACCCAGAAAGGGTATGATAGAGCAGAGGGATGGTGCTTGCAGAGATGTTATGGCAAAGAAAAGAGGCCAGCCTTTCATACTTAAATCTTAAGATATCCCGAACTGTATGCCTAGCTGAATTTTAAGCAGTGGATTTCTGTATCTCATAATACACATTTTCATTTTATAAACATAGAAGATTTAGACATTTAGGTCCCTACTTTTCAGAGATCAATATTGAAAGCTCAGATCCTCGGGCACAAAGTAGAAGACACATATGTTGTAAATAGGTTTTTTTTTTTTTTAAAAAAAAAAAGAAATCTACCCATGCCACCCCCCAAAGCCCAAGAAAATACAGAAGATCCTAGTCATCTCTCTCATGGCTCTACTCAGTAAGTATTGTCAACCCACTCACTGAATCCCAAGTCCTATACAAAAAAGTTGACCCTCGAACCAGAAACATTTCCTACCTTTTCTGCAGTACAATATAATACCACTATGTAGTTTTTCAGCCAGTTTGCATGTCTGGAAATTCTTCCCCCATTTCAGTTAAAAATGCAAACTATAAAAGCATGGCTCAAAAATCAGTTACATTTTTTCACCCTTGGCCCAAATTCTGGCTTTTGTACTGAATTTTATCTTGCTATGATAAGACTTCTTGGAAACTCAAAGCATTCTTCCCCTCTCTCTTGCTTCTCTAAAACTTCACTTGGCCTAATAAACAGATTGTCTTGTATGAATTGTAGATATATATTTTTCTCATGGCCCACATGGCTACCATTGCTTTTTCAAATCCTGAGAAACGTTCATAGAATACAGATCAGGAAAGACCTCTGAAGGTTATCTACATCTGAACTATGGAAAGGATTTATACCAGGTAGGCAACCTTGGCTCTTATATGACTCATGGACTTCAACTCCCAGAATTCCTGAGCCAGCATGGCTCAGCTTGGAAACCTCTTCCTTTCCCCTCAGCATGGCTGGCTCAGGAATTCTGGGAGTTGAAGTCCATGAGTCATAAAAGAGCCAAGGTTGTCTACCCCTGATTTATACCAATGTTCAATCTTAATTCAATGTCAGCAGAGAGAAGTTAAAACAGCCATCCACTACCCACTGCCATCTGGCCATGTTGGTTCCCCCTTACTGCCACACAATCACCAAAACTGGAACCAAGGTGCCAGGTTCATGAGTGGTATCTTAAAGCATTTCATATATACATATACAATTAATACCAACAATATTAAAGGCTGGACATGAGAAGGATTTTTCTGACCATCATTCCTCAATGTTCATCACAGCCCCATCTGCTCACAAGTAATCAAATGTAATCCCGACTGAACCACATAATATATATTCTTTATTTTGTAATGAGAAGAAGCTCACAGATTCCTTTTTCTCCTAATTTAAGAGCACATCCTTTTTCTGAAAGTTGTAAACAATGATGACAAACCAAGGACAGGAAAGTGAGTGAGAGCTCAAAATGAAGAGGATGTTCCTCTCAGTAAAGAAAAGTCGGTTCCAAATTCAAATTAGGGTGATCACATTTATTATATTGGATGTATAAGTTACATTGTATCCTGAACTTCTACTCATAGTATCCCTGGGAATCTACTTAGACTAGGAGTGATTTGGCCAATGGAACTTCATGATGAACCTGTCTTTACACCTGGCTTCCAGTAAAAATAATTTTAAAATACACAGTCAGGTATTAGGAGCAAATAGCATTCATAAAAATCACATACATATAGGACAAAAATGATATATCAAGGCTCAACCTTCCCTTTCATCTCCTAGCACATTAATATTTGTTGCACAGTTGATCCAATCCAGTTCTGATCCCAAACTTGGATAAAGCATTAAGATAGTGGAGTAAGGACCAACGTCCTGATGCCATTTGCTTTGGGTAACAAAATTAGAACTTGGCTTATTCTGGACTTCCAGATTCTGAACCATGTGCACAGAGTGGCTTTTGAATCCCTTCACATCTCTTCTGTCACACCAGCCTGCACGCAACAGGAAATATAAATTACTCAAGAAAAAACTGTTGTTGTGCAACTGGCATAACATGTATTTCATAAACACAGACGTGATCAAGGGAGAAAACAGTTTTTGAAGGAGAAAAAACTTCTAAATTAGTCCTTGCCTAGGCAACAACCCTGATATTGAGTTTTATAAACCACAAACCTCATACTGCCTTCTTGGTATTTCAAGGATGTTTCTTAGTACCAAGATTGTTTACTAAAAATCCACACAAACTGCTGTGAATGATTTTCTTAACAGTTCTTTCATGCACTGTATGAGATGGAGATATTGTTACCGTATGTTAAAAAAAGCCTGCAAATCAATCAGAACGTATTGCATTTCTAATGAGTTTTAGGAAACATCATCACTAATTCAACCCAGTTTTAGACTTGTTAAAAATTAAAGTTTCAATACATTCACTATATACTCAATAAACGTACCTGTCATCTTCCACTTATAACAATCTACTCAGCAGTTGGTTGGCCCCCTAGAAGTTGTTTGTTTTTAATTTCAGTCAAATTCAGGCAGCATATCTAATGTCAGAAACAATGGGAATGGCTGTTTAATAAAGTCTGGAGGCTGTGCATGATTCACGAAGGTGGATATAAAACACAAAAAGAATTAGTTTTACAAAGTCAATCAACTCTATCTTGAACAGAAGAAGAACTGGGCCCTGAACATTAACTATCATTGTACCCTATGCAAGTGCATGGTAGACTAAAAGAAATGTGCTCCTGGTGTTTAAAATTGAAGCTAAAAGATAATGGACACATATGGGAAAAATGAAGATAATAATAATAATAATAATAATGATGATGATGATGATGATGATGATGATGATAATAATAATAATAATAGTAATAATAATAATAATAATAATAATAATAATAATAATAATAATAATAAAAAATTGGAAGGTCATCTAGTCCAACCCCCTGCTCAGGCAGGAAACCCTATACCATTTCAGACAAATGGCTGTCCAATTTCTTCTTAAAAACTTCCAGTGTTGGCACATTCACCACTTCTGGAGGCAGGTTGTTCCACTGGTTAATTGTTCTAACTGTCAGGAAGTTTCTCCTTAGTTCTAGGTTGTTTCTCTCTTTGGTTAGTTTCCACCTGTTGCTTCTTGTCCTGCCTTCAGGCGCTTTGGAAAATAGCTTGACTCCCTCTTCTTTGTGGCAGCGCATGAGATACTGGAACACTGCTATCATGTCCCCCCTCGTCCTTCTCTTCGTTAAACAAGACATACCCAATTCCAGCAACCGTTCCTTATATGTTTTAGCCTCCAGTCCCCTAATCATCTTTGTTGCTCTTCTCTGTACTCTTTCTAGAGTCTCAACATCCTTTTTACATTGTGGTGACCAAAATTGGATGCAGTATTCCAAGTGTGGCCTTCACGTGATCTTGATTCTATCCCTCTGTTAATGCAGCCTAGCACTGTGTTGGCTTTTTTGGCAGCTGCAACACACTACTGGCTCATATTTAAATGATTGTCCACTAGGACTCCAAGATCCCTTTCACAGTTACTACTATTGAGCAAGGTATCCCCTATATTATACCTGTAAATTTGGTTTTTCTTGCCTAAATGTAGAACCTTACTTTTTTCACCATTGAATTTCATTTTGTTAGCTAGCGCCCAGTGTTCAAATCTGTCCAGATCCTCCTGTATCCTAAGCCTGTTTTCTGGCGCGTTGGCTATTCCTGCCAGCTTGGTGTCGTCTGCAAATTTGATGAGTTCCACATCTATCCCTTCATCCAGATCGTTGATGAAGATGTTGAAGAGCACTGGGCCCAGAATAGAGCCTTGGGGCACCCCACTACACACTTCCCTCCATGTAGATGCGGTTCCATTGAGGACTCCACGCTGAGTACGGCTGGTCAGCCAGCTACGGATCCATCTGGTGGTGATGCTGTCTAACCTGCATTTTTCTATCTTCTCCAAGTAGAAGGTTGTGGTCTACTTTGTCAAATGCCTTACTGAATTCCAAGTAAATTATATCCACAGCATTCCTCTGGTCCACTGATTTTGTCACTTGTTAAGGAATGCAATAAGATTTGTCTGGCATGATCTATTTTTGACAAACCTGTGTTGGCTTTTAGTAATGACTTTGTTTGCCTGTAGGTGTTCGCTGATTCATTGTTTGATTATCTTTTCCAGAATCTTCCCAGGTATTGAGGTCAGGCTGATAGGTCTGTAATTTCCTGGGTCCTTTTTTCCCCCTTTTTTTGAAGATGGGAACTACATCAGTTCTTTTCCAGTCCTCTGGTAGTTCCCCAGTGCTCCAGGATCTTTGAAAAATATAGTTCAGTGGTTCTGAGATCACATCTGCAGTTCCTTAAGAACCTTGGGGTGTAATCCATTTGTTCCTGGTGATTTGAACTCTCTAGGCTGGACAGGTGTTCACTTATCATTTTCTTGCCTATCTTAACTTGTATTTCTATTTTGTTTTTTATGGCACTATTTTTGATAGGTTGGTCTGTTTTTTCCCTTTGTGTAAAGACAGATGCGAAAAACGAGTTAAATAGTTCTGCTTTCTCCCTGTTGCTTGTCATCTTCTTGCTGCTTTCACCCACTAATGGACCAATCATTTCCTTCACTTTTTTCTTGTTTTTTACATGTTGAAAGAAGCTTTTTTGTTATTTTTGACTTTAGTTGCAAGCCTTAGTTCATTTTGAGCTTTAGCTTTTCTCACTTCATCTTTGCAGGCTCGGGCTATTTGCTGATATTCTGACTTAGTTATGTGTCCCTCTTTCCACTTTCTATATTTATCCTTTTTATGTTTCAGTTGATCAGAGAGTTCTTTATGCAGCCATGCTGGTTTCTTTTGAGAGCTGTTATTTTTCTTCTTTGTTGGTATTGTGCTAGACTGGGCTTTTATTATCTCACTTTTCAAAATTTCCCAAGCCTCTTGAGTTGTTTTCCCCTGGAGGATTCTCATCCATGGAATCCTTCCCAAACCCTCTCTAAGTTTATTGAAATTAGCTCTCTTGAAGTCCAAGACTCTAGTTTGACTGTGTTCTATTGCTTGTGCTTCCATAATGTTGAATTCCAATATTGCATGATCACTTCCTTCCAAGGTTCCTATGGCCTTTGGGGACTCCTAAAGCAGTCAATCCACATAACTTGTCAGAATTGTAACAGAAGCCAAAGCAAAATAATCTGGTACTTAAATGAGTGGATTCTTCCAGCAAGGATCAAGTATATGAAAAAAATCAAACACTGATAAGGTGATCTTTGAACCAGCAGGAAGAAAGCCTTTGGATCAATCACAAATCACTGAAAACTTTTGACTTCCAGGGAAGAATGGCAGACTGAAGATGTTGAGCCAACAAATGTGGCTAAAAACAATGAATGATGAGTAAATTAGCTCCTTTGACTCTCTCTAGACAAAGAGAGGATGTGAGATCACTCAAGCTGTGCTCCATATTGTTGCTTCTCAGGAGGAGACTGCAAAGCAGCAGTTTCTGATGGGAGAATGAGGAGCCAAGAAGGGAAAACCAGGAGCCAAGGTAATATGCCATGTTGCTCCAGCTGTAATTGGAGCCTTCAGAGAACATTAAGTTCACACTTCCTTTACTAATTGCTTTTCAGAAATTAGCTATTAACTACTTGAAATAGACAGATGCCTTCAAAATGGCAATGCTGGAAACATCAGGTCAGTGTCTTCTATCCTTGTTGTTAATTGCGAAGTCGTGTCCGACCCATCGCGACCTCATGGACAACGTTCCTCCAGGCCTTCCTGTCCTCTACCCTTCTATCCTTAATATACATCAAATAGCTCTAATATTTTAAAATGCACAACAAAAAACAAAGCAAGATTTTGGCTATAGACATTTTTAAACAGATTAAGTCCTCTAAAAAAGTTGAAATATTTTATCTTGAATATTACTGTCTGTCTTGGGAAGCTCTTTGCGGCCATAAGCAACCAGATAATGGGATGGAGTGGGTGGGCAGCCACATGTTGTGTCCAGTAGAGGCAGGCCAGTAGTAGCAGTGTTCCCACTCGCCTGTGCTATGCGGGCTTCCAGCCCAACTGCACCAGCAAAGTGCCCAGCAGGCAGTGGCTGCTGCCAGACACCTTTGGCCCCCACGAGCTCTCCATCTCCCACAAAAAAAATAAGACATCCCCTGAAAATAAGCCCTAATGGGTCTTTTGGACCAAAAATAAATATAAGACCCAGTCTTGTTTTCAGGGAAACAAGATTGTTAAAGAGTTATGAGATGAATAATTTTATATTTGTTAATTGAAAAGAGATATACCAATAGTGAAATTGTTTACATTTTTCTTGATAGTGAGAGATTGCTTTCTCAAGGTTTTTTTTTCCTCTATTTCTTTCTCGCACTGTTTGTTTCATTTATTTTTCCTTTTTTAGTTTATATTATCTTTTACTATTATGATTAAAACTTTTAATAAAAATATTAAATACTGAAGACTTTCAACAGGCCATAAACTAAAAAGAAGATGGAGTTTGGTAAAGCTTTAGAAACAAGCCAAATTGGCCCACTTAACACGTCTGTCCTGGTTAACTCCACTCATCATACAGGAGATTCAAAATGACAGAGCACAATTTAGGAGTTTATTACAACAGTACAATTTCTAGAAATGGTACCTGGGGCAAGACTAAATTTGCACAAGAAATAGTTTATCTCAGAATATTTTGTCAGCCAACAAGGCCTCCTGCATCCTGCTATTCTTCAGATGTACTCAGTAAAAGTACCTCAAGGACACCCAATCAGGGAAGTTTGGATTAGCGTCTTTCAGCAATATCTAAATCAGGGGTAGTCAACCTTGGCTCTTTTATGACTCGTGGACTTCCAGCTGGCTCAGGAATTCTGGGAGTTGAAGTCCACGAGTCATAAAAGAGCCAAGGTTGACTACCCCTGATCTAAATTAAGAACAAGAGTTATCCTTGAAATTATTTGTCTCTAAACACTGACATTTTCCCAGTTTCTCTCTGCTTTGCAAATTAACTACTACAGATCTAGAATGGTGATTCTATGGTTGTAAGCAAAACATGATTTAGTCTACATGGAGCATGTTGTGTGAAACCAGATTATAAACTTTATTACTAAGTAACTAACTTTGTTACTAAGTTTATAAACTTTGGTTATAAACCATATGGCAGTTTATAGCTGAGCCTGTTGTGCAAAACCGGAATTAGTCTACATGGTGCAACAAACCATCACTTTCCACAGCAAGTAGACACAATGTGTTTCTTAAAGTTGTTTAATTGAAAATTGTGAAGACTTGCTTAGAAACTTTTTATATACCTTATGGTAATGTATAACAGTTTGGGCATGCTATAAATAATAGAAAACCCTGCTAGAAGAGCATGTTCTGTTCTATATCAAGAAATAAAAATATGAACATAAAAGTGATGAAATTCTAGGAGCTATGAATACATACACACAGAGATACAAATGTTTGAACAAAAGCATTTGGGAAAGATTTTGGAGAATAAATGTTAATAATACTCCAGGAAATCTCTTAACTGAACTGGGGTGTCATTAACTTTCATTTGTACAGGCCTGGCTCGTCTTACATTTTTGGGCTGTTTTATTTCACACAGAAAACATCGCACCTGCAGCCACTCTACAAATTACTTGGGCAACTCACTTTGGCAGACCTGGGAGGAACCGGCCATCTTCTTTCCTTTCGATGGGCTTCCCTACCTGGCTCCGCGTGAGAGCAAAGAACCATCCCAAGCCGAGCTCTTTCAGGCTGGTCCGCCTCTCCTGGCTTAGTGCTTTTCAGCACCTGCTGGCTGTGGATTAGGGGAGTCGAAGTCCACTTTATATCTGGCAGAAGGCCCTCAAGTGGGGAAAGCTAGGCAGCAAACCCCATTCAATACCTGACTCCCGTCACCTACCCCCGCTGCCCCTGTTGAATTGGGGCCAAGGGGACAAAGCCTAGAGATCCTCTTCCTGTCTCTTGCGCACCAAGCCCCTGCGGCACTTCCTGCCCTCTCCCTTCACCCCAGCTCGCTTGCTCACTCAGGGTATTGTGTGGCATGAGGAATCCTTGGGACAAGGAATGGCGAGTCTGTGGGTTCTTCGCCCACATGGCGGCCCTGACTGCCGTCCAAAGTAGACACTCCCAAGGGAGCATCTGGAAGCTGATCCTCTGTTGGTTTCACACAGCAACACTGGGACGGGCTTTGGTGGCTCTTTATGGATGTTGCCCCTCAGGAACGTCTGAGTGAGGCTTAAGCACTCATTAAACCCTTATGAGTAAGATTCAGTCCAAGACAGACACTGACTGTTCTCCCCTCCTGGTTAACACTCCTAGTTCAGAAATTCAAAGTATGGAGTCCAAAGACCTTTTTTAACATCAAGAGTCTTAGTACGTGCATAATTGTGTTCCAAAGAGAGAAGGACCTCTGAAGCCCAGCTTGCATCAGAGTCCATGAAAATAATCAAAGTGTGTAATATAGTCATTTCTGTTTCCTGCACCACATTAAAATAGTTTGGCTTCTCTAACCTGCTATTTTCCAGACATGTTAGGATACAACTCTCATCATTCCTAGCCAACGTGATCATTCTGCTATGGGTGTGGATTGTTTAACAACCTGATTGCACTAGTTGGATGGGATTGTGGTAATTCCTTATCTGAAGTCCCAAGTTCTTCAGCAACAGCTTCTATTTCCTTCTTTGGAATAGAAATGCAAGATATAAACAAACAAAAGGATGAACAATATTAAATATATGTAAATTACAGATTAAAAGCAGAGCCAAAGTGGTGTTCATCCTATTAGGAGTAGAGGAAGAAGTCTAAATTAGATCTCTAATAGCAATGGCATTAGAATCCAAAATGTATGTTAGAGTTTGAAGGATCACATGAAGGAATTTGACTGAAGTTCTGTTGCATTTTAGTTTAGCCTCAACTGGCATGCACAGACTCAGTTTCACGACTGCCAAAAGTGACAGTGAAATCTTCCCCCACCCAAGTGGCTGTGCAGGGAAGCACAATAAAGCCTTGCAGCCATTAAAATGAATCAGCTGGAACTGCAAGGCAAGGAATGCCATTTTCCCCAGAATACCCACCTCTAGCAAATAGGCAGCACCTGTTTCCCCAGAGAGGTGAGTTGAAGTCCACATGCCTTAAAATTGTCAAGTTTGGGAAACACTGCTTTACACCATAAAGACTTTGCAGAACCACTGAGCAAACTTTAAAGCCTGCAGAGCTCTATTTAAATACGATTTTCACACAGGATTTTATAAATAGTGCTTCATATGTGAAAGTACATAAACAGCAAAAGAGAAATTTCATATACTTCTATATACTTTCATCAGCGGAAACTAATTTACACTGAAACTAGAGACTTATTTAAAAATGCTATCATCTTTTAGCATTCAATGGTATTTAGTACTGTATTTTCACAAGTTTTTATAGCCCTTCTCATGATTATTCCTATACTAAGTCTGAAGACTTTTTTTTAAAAAAAATCATAGCTAAGCAATATCTTCATCTGTTCATAATTCTACCCAGGTATGTGCAAGTTCCTACTTCTCCAGAACTCTTCATCGGACTAGATTCCATAAATCCAAGAAATGGACATATGCATTGCTGAAAAATGGCAATCTCTAAACCACAATCTTAAGGAACAATCCCTAAGCAATATGCAACAAACAGCCAACCAATTAAAATAACCTCCCACCATTTGTACAAATAGTGTTTAGAAAAAATTACAGAAGGCTCCCATCCAAAATGGTATAGGGTTTCCTGCCTAAGCAGGGGGTTGGACTACATGACCTCCAAGGTCCCTTCCAACTTTATTATTATTATCATTATCATCATCATCATCATCTCTCTGACTGAGGAACCAAATTCTGAATTTCATGATTATGGAGGCTTTATCTATTATTTTGTCATTGCTATAGCTTCTTCACCACATAAGAGTAATTCAGGGATAATGCAATTCAGATATTTTGGATTTTAGCACTTATCAGCCGTAGTCTTTATGCCCAAAGGCAAATAATTGTGGGATCTGTACAAGGCAGTAATACCTAGTGCAGGGATCCCCAACCCCCGGTCTGTGAACCAGTACCGGGCCGTGGCATGCCAGCAACCGGGCTGCATAAACAAGCAAAGCCCCATCTGCAAGATGCAGGCAGCACACAAAACCACCCACCCTCCAGTCTGCGGAAAAACCTCTCTCCATGTAACCGGTCCCTGGTGCCCAAAAGGTTGGGGACCTCTGACCTAGTGCATTGAAAAGACTGGTGATTATAAAGAAATATTTCAATCCATGCTTGTAGAATCAAAGTCCTTTAATAATGACCTTCCTTGAAGGAAGGGGGCAGGAATTAGTTTCTAGCTGATCAGCATGCTATCTCTGCCAGTTCAAAATCAGTCATTATGTTGTAATGAGATGTGTGAAGTAGCCTCATATTTTATCAAACACAAAGTTAGATTAATGCAAGGCATATTTTTCAACATTAACCATTAAATCAACCATGTTATTTAATTAATTAAACTTAAATTATTTTTCTGCCAAATAAGTACTGAAACTAATTCAAATGTGCAGGCAAGTACATTATATAGTCCTCCAAAATTTGAAACACACATCATCAAGGTACTCATACAAAATCTCCCTCCACTTGAAAACCAATAGATCTGAAAATATATGCCATATATTTTCTCATTTACAATCATTGATCCTGAATATTCCTTGAGTTTTGCAGTAAACATTTAATCTATTTTATTTTATGCAGGAAATGTTTAGGTTATTTCTTACTGCAAAATGTTGAATGTATTAATATGTAGAGAAATATTTTCATTTTCTAGAGTCCATGTAAACAGCATACCCTTTTTCTAAGAAGCCTTGACAAGAAAAAAAAAAGCTGTTCAAGCCATCAATTCATAGTGTCTGCTTGCATGCTTATATGTATACAGTGGTGATGCCATAAATAAGATGATGTAGCTGTGTTATATTATTCCATCCATCAGGTTTTGGTGATCATACTTGCATATATTAAGCTCTTTCTCTTTTTATTATTTAATTTTATTTTCCTCCTAAGTTCATACAACAGGATTGATGCTTAGCTGAAACTCACTTAAAAACCATGCCATATTAATATCAAAATACTTATGTGTTTAAAAAACATGTTATATCATAAAAAAATCTGCACAGTTCCAACTCTTAGAAGGATTTTATCAACATGTTAGAAATGAATTATCAGTTCACCTACATCGTTCTTCAAGTCATTTTGACCTTCCTTTCTTCGTACTTTATATAATTGGAAATGTTGCCTAGAATATAACATGTTATTACTTTCCTTACCGCCTTAATACTCCTTCTATCCCATGTCTTATCATTTCTTATCTTCTAAGTAAGATTAACACCACAAAACTGAGTTCAAAGACAAAGACATATTGATGGTCCATTTTATCCTATTTCTGTCTCATTTGTTTATGTTACTTTACCCTGCAACAAATCTTAAAATTTAATTTCTAAGGGCATCCCTTGGAAAGCAAGCTTTGCAATCAAGTCAAATTCATTCAGATGTGGTGAATTGGATTTTGGATAAAAATGATGGAAGATATAAGAAATATTAATTTTTTGCCCCAGTACATCTGGAAAACACCTCAGTAAGGAAAATGTTAAAATGTGATACACATTAATACACCTCCTGAGTTCAAAGACTTATTCAGAGACATATTGATGGCCCATTTTAACCTGTCTGTCTCATTTGTTTTTGTTACTTACCCTGCATCAAATTTTAAAATTTAATTTCTAAGGGCATCCCTGGGAAAGCAAGCTTTGCAATCAAGTCAAATTCATTTCGATGTGATGAATTATATGTTCCATCATTTTTATCCAAGATCCAAACAAGTATGGAAGTTTTGTGCTAGTACACCTTGGTAAGGAAAGTGTTGCTGAAATTTGATACACATTAATACTATATATAAAGAAACAAATCCAGTGAGCATCGATTAGGCAGAAACTGCATTTAAAATGTATTCAATTTGTATTTTTCCCAATATTATATATTTATATATATATATCATCATATCAAGACCTACATACCAACTAATGTGGGAGGGGCAACAACATGACTGACATATCTACATATTAATTCAATTGCACAAAATATTTTATATGGCAAACAAACTATGCAGACTGTGTAATTCTAGTGGTTTAAGCAACCAGAATTGTTTCTTCTTTCATAATCCTATGATTACATATATCATATGACATAGCATATCACAAAAAGAGGACACCAATTTTTTCTTTAGAGGCCACCCAAGCAACATGTCATAATTTTTTTTCCATAGAGAGTAGACATGGAGTACCTATTTCTGAACTGAATTTCATATTTGTGATCCGTATTCTATTTTCCTGTGAACAGAACAGATATATGATCCTTACTGAATAGAATAAAATCGGATTTGCTGGATTAGTCTCTCTGTTATTTAGCTTTTAGGCTTTCAGTAAGAATAGTTCAATCCTCACCAACAAGTTGTTCTCCAGATATGTTAGACTTCATCTCTTATCATCCCCAACCAAGGCTGAATTAATGAATTGTTCCTCCGCTTTCATCACATGTTATGGTCAACAAATGGCTTGCATAAAATCAAAGTCATCCTCTACAAAAACCCAAAGAAATGAATGGATAATGAGTAACAAAGGGAAGATGAATCAGAATTCAGCAACTGAATGCTAAACATCTGTTTTTGCAAAGCTGAGTGGATATTATGAACTGTACCACAAATGCTTTTTATCTGTTTTTCCAAATCTTAAGGATCTGTTTAATGCAATGCATTCCATTCTCAAAGAGAATGTATCCTTCCTACAGGCATTCCAAACTAATCAGTATAGTAGATAAATCAGCCTATTACTTATATTGGGTTCTGGCTAAAAAAGCATTATTCCCCTTGCCTTGACTTCCCCCAGTAGGGAAATGCTCATATTTATTAGTTAATTTTAATAGTCTCTTTTAGAACAACACCTAACTAAAGAAGATCATCTCTGTGCAAGCCTTCTCCAGTCCAAACATCCTCCAGATTAAAGTCCCAGAACTGACTAATCTAGAGCAGTGGTTCTCAACGTTTTTAATGCCGTGACCCCCAACCGGTCATAAGTCGAGGACTACCCAACCGGTCATAAGTCGAGGACTTTCCCTGCCCAGGAGTGCTGCGCATGCGTGGTGCCACCCCCTGCGCCAGCCGAGGCGTAACTGGCAAGGGGCAGCGATGGCGCGGGGCGACCACCAGCTGGCCCAGCCCAAGGTAGGTAAGGCACCCGCCAGGCCCCACGCGCGCCAGCAACCCTCCCTGAGCCCGCCGGCCTCCCACCTCCCACCCCTGGCCCTCTTTTACTTACATTTTTAGTAGTTGCTCAGCAGGGATGGGTGGAAACTTCCAGACAGCTCGCCTTCGCTGCAGACAACTTGCAGCACCGTTTGCAGAATGGGACTGCAGGCTCAGCAGGGCAGAGACATTGTGGACAATTCCAATTGGCTTTTGAAAGCCAATAGAATTAGACTCTATTCAAGAGAGTCTATTCTATTGGCTTTCAAAAGCCAATAGAATAAAAGGGAGTAGCACAGATAAGGAAAAATGGCGGACTGCATTGTTTGGCAACCCCCGTGAAATGGTTGTTCGACCCCAAATGGGGTCCCGACCCACAGGTTGAGAACCACTGATCTAGAGGATGCCAAGAATAGGGGAGGAGGTTCTCTCTCTCTCTCTCTCTCTCTCTCTATATATATATATATAAGCTTGACTGATTTTATTTTCAATAAGTATTGAATTCCACAATCAAGTCTATAAATAAGCAGCAAAACAGACTCCCACTCTAAGTATAATACAATTACTGTTGGCATTTCTTTAATCTTAATTGGATCAAGGCTGAAGACCTGCAGAATCAGTTTTTTCACAGCCTGTAACAGGAGAGGCAATGTGTGTCTTTTTTAGGCAATTCAGGTGCTCTCAAACTATCTCTGCCTGTCTTAAATGATTAACTCTCTTTTTAGCTACATATACTCAAGAACCTTGTATTATCAAGGTATTGTTGAATGCAAACTATAGAGAAATTTCAGGTCAACTTTTAAGGTAGCAGAGCACCTCTTCATTGCTATCTAGCAGAGATAAGCAATGAAAACAAAACCTAATGAGAACACAAAGGGTAGGCAACACACCCCTTCTGAAGAGATGGAAACAGATACCAGAACTTGCTGAATAATATTAACCAATCTGTTACAAATTAGCCTTACATAAAACAACAACAATACATTATTATAAGCCTATTTCATTTGCACTGCAAATATAATGGAAGATAGTAGAAAAAGGAAGGACTTTGGGGGAAAAGTATAGTAACCCCTATACATTTCAGAGAAAAACTATAAAAACTAATTTTCTGCTTGGAATCTCCAAGGTAACACACATGCCAAAGTGATTATTGTAAACTGTTTATTTTACAGAATCAGAAACTAAAAGGTGATTCAATAGGAATCTTGCAGATTGGTTTCAGAAGAAAAGAAGGCACAATGTTAAAGCCACCAAGGGCCATTTAGCTTTTAAATAATCCTTAAAAAATTCCTAATACCTCACTGGGTTTTAATCTTTCAAGGATGTTCTAAGCAAAAAACAATGGGAAGGATTAACATCAGAAATATTCATATAAACATTAAAATGACCCACCCAGGAATTTGTTAGAATCTAAGGTGATACTCACCTCAGAGGAGCTCTGCCTTGAGCACTATTGCACTCATCCAACAGTATTATTACTAATTTAGAAATATCTTGAAATATTCAAGGCCAAATATTCAAGCTGGTGTACAGTCTACATCTTGGGGTAGATACAGTGGAGAAGATCAGTAGCAAAAACAGGTTACTACATTTCATCAGCTGTTCAAGTTCCCTTTTGGGTATATCTGAAACCAGGCATTATAAACAGGAAGAAGAAAAAAGAAAAGCAGAGACAGAGTAGCTAAAGCAGTTCCACTTTTGCACTATTATAGTCTCTGCTCTCAGTATTTGGAGGTCAGCAATGTGAGTGGATTAACTTCAGTTTCTTTTCTGGGCTTGAATAACACAAAGAGCACAGACAAGCTAAGAAACTAACAAATATCTATGGTACAAGTTTGATTGAAACACTGCACCTTAACCACAATTTGCACCAATATGATAAAAATAAAATGGTATTTCAATAATACAACTGGAACAAATGGCTAGGGCCATTGATTCCAGCCCTCTGCTTAAGGGCAGGAATCCTAATTAAAATGTCTCCAACTCATCTAGCAATGGGAAACTAAACATCTTCCTTGGTAATTGGCCTATCTTCATCCTATTCTCACTGCTAGGAAGTTTTTCCTAACATTAAAATGACATGGTTTAGTCTACTTTATGAAGGTGGCATTTGTCAGGATTTGTTCAATTTGTTATATGCAACCAGAGTGAACTATGCAGCATGACATTCTTTTCTTAGGTCAGTCTTCCTGAACCTGACACCCTTCAAATTGTGTTGGACTATAGCCTCCCATCAGACATCAAACTCACCTAGAGGGAACCAAGTTAAGAGGTTACCTTAAAGGAATCTGAATGTACACTAGCCTACAGTACATTTACCAAGGAAATATTGATGAAAGCATCAGGAGATCAAACCTAAATTTATTGTCTACTAAATGTGACACGTATTGTCTCTTAGATAGTACACATAGTTTATGAGTGGCATTGCCCATCTGACTTTGTCTAGATCAGCAGCCTAACTTTAAAACATTTAAAAATGCCAAGCAGAACAGGAACCTTGGGACAACTTCAAATATCTCATGATGTACTCCAAAAACTTAATTAGGAGCTTCCAGAAATATTGTTCCACCCACTTATTTAACATATATAATATACAACTTAGATGAGCCCAATTAATACTTCCAATGTTGATAGCAAAACAACATCCATATATTTTAAAAACATGTCCTGAAGGCATGGAATTAAATGACTCAGAAGACCCTAAACAGTCAAAAGCTTGCATATATGGCTTCGTTAAAATGCTCAGAGCAATTGAGCTACCCATTGTCCTAAAGAAAATTTGCTCTAAAATGATGCTGCCACCTACTGGGTCACTGATGATTCAAAGGAGGAAAGCAAACAAAGAAAACTACAACTGATTTTCCCGATACTGTATAGTAACCACAGATGAGTCTACTTAAAAAATTCTTTAAGGATGAATTTATTCATAAGCATTAAATTATCAAAAAGTACTTCAATGTACTTCCATCTCATTCAGTTCCATGCCTGGGTTTAATACTGACAGATATAATATTGTACTCTCGGCAGTAATATGGAAGTGGTTTTTCTTCTTTAGATTTGTTTACTTCCCTGTCCAGCCTACAGTACTGGGGTTTCCTGCCAGTTTCCTATACAAATACTAATCAGATCTGACCTTACTGAGCTTGTTGGCCAATCAAAGTCAGCTAAAGATACTACCTAGCATAGTTTTGGAAGGCACCTTCTCGCCAGGACAGACCCTTCTGCTATTAGTTCAGCCAACATCTAGAAAGTGGTTTAGACCATTCGTCACCAAACTGGGAACAGTAACCCTTAACAAATTGATTATACGTAAGATGGCAAAGGCCTATAGATGGAATCCCTCTTCAGAAATGCCTTCATAATTATTTTATTAAGTCAAATGGTCACCGCATCAAAAACCGTATCAGACTCACAACTTTGGAAAAATGAATGAAGATGAATTTAAATGAATTAAACAATCCAAAGAATCTATCAATAAATATGTACAAGAGTGAAACGCTTTAGTGAGAGAGTAAAAATTATTTAATATTTGTACAGTAAGTTATCTCTTGCTTTTTGATACCTGAAAATATCCAGAGTGGATTATTTATTGAAATATGACTGCAAATAGGGAGCATGGTCATATTGCTTAAAGCAGGTGCAAGACAGAAAGCTTACCTTGCAAAGGTATGCAGATAAAACTGACCAAAAAAAATTAAAATGAAGTCTTGCACACAATCATGCAAAAGAGATGAAGATAAAATAAGTAATATCAGAGTATTTAAACCTTCCACAATATTTGTTTCCCAAGTCGCCATCTTGGGAAAACAAAACTTTAACAGCACCATTGAGCAAAAGATTGCTAGATTTACATACATCAAAAGATCTCAACAAATACAGTACATTTTTCCCACATTTCAATTGTTAATTGAAAAATGCTAGCAATCTGGCTCATGTAACCTGTACCTGAATAACCAACCTGGTCTCTCCTTCTCCCACTTCTTCCCAGTTTAAATTTTACATAAATACAGCCATTCCATGCATCTACCTAACTAAGCAGCAGCTCACAAAATCTTGTGCTGTTTAATAAAATTGGTTAGCTAGAAAAGATACTGGCAGACTCCTGATAAATTATTAGACAACTTTGTTGCCACAGATAGCACTTTTTTAAAAAAAGAAATGCCATATTGCTATTTTTCAATTTGTTTTACACCCACATATTACTAATTCTGGAGCAGCAGGGATTAATTATCACATTCTGTGAGCCTCCAGAAATTGCTGAACTTACATTGCATTATTTTTCATCAGGAACCATCCTGTCTGGGACTGCTGGAAATTGTAATTTGTAACAGAGTTGG